TGTCGAGTGTGGGGGTGGTGGATCTAAGCTTGGGCCAAGGGCGAGTACATGTCAGCCTCATTTCTGTCTCAGGGTTGTGAGTGTGGGGGGTGGTGGATCTAAGCTTGGCCAAGGGCGAGTACATGTCAGCCTCATTTCTGTCTCAGGGTTGTGAGTGTGGGGTGGTGGATCTAAGCTTGGCCAAGGGCGAGTACATGTCAGCCTCATTTCTGTCTCAGGGTTGTGAGTGTGGGGTGGTGGATCTAAGCTTGGCCAAGGGCGAGTACATGTCAGCCTCATTTCTGTCTCAGGGTTGTGAGTGTGGGGTGGTGGATCTAAGCTTGGCCAAGGGCGAGTACATGTCAGCCTCATTTCTGTCTCAGGGTTGTGAGTGTGGGGTGGTGCATCTAAGCTTGGCCAAGGGCGAGTACATGTCAGCCTCATTTCTGTCTCAGGGTTGTGAGTGTGGGGTGGTGGATCTAAGCTTGGCCAAGGGCGAGTACATGTCAGCCTCATTTCTGTATCATGGTTGTGGGTGTGGGGTGGTGGATCTAAGCTTGGCCAAGGGCGAGTACATGTCAGCCTCATTTCTGTATCATGGTTGTGAGTGTGGGGTGGTGCATCTAAGCTTGGCCAAGGGCGAGTACATGTCAGCCTCATTTCTGTCTCAGGGTTGTGAGTGTGGGGTGGTGGATCTAAGCTTGGCCAAGGGCGAGTACATGTCAGCCTCATTTCTGTCTCAGGGTTGTGAGTGTGGGGTGGTGGATCTAAGCTTGGCCAAGGGTGAGTACATGTCAGCCTCATTTCTGTATCATGGTTGTGAGTGTGGGGTGGTGGATCTAAGCTTGGCCAAGGGCGAGTACATGTCAGCCTCATTTCTGTCTCAAGGTTGTGAGTGTGGGGTGGTGGATCTAAGCTTGGCCAAGGGCGAGTACATGTCAGCCTCATTTCTGTCTCAGGGTTGTGAGTGTGGGGTGGTGGATCTAAGCTTGGCCAAGGCGAGTACATGTCAGCCTTATTTCTGTCTCAGGGTTGTGAGTGTGGGGTGGTGGATCTAAGCTTGGCCAAGGGCGAGTACATGTCAGCCTCATTTCTGTCTCAGGGTTGTGAGTGTGGGGTGGTGAAGCTAAGCATGCTCTGGGATGGGTACATGTTTTCACTGTCGGTCTAACAGTTGTGGGTATTAGGGGTGGGGTAGATCTAAGCTTGCCTTCGGGTGGGTACATGGAAGGTGGTCCGGCTGAGTGACTTTGTTCATTGCATGATGTTGCACATATCAATCACTGGATTGTGTGATCCAGACTCAATTACTTACAGGTCACTGTCATAATTCAATTACTGCTAAGTGTGACGTTACACAACGAACCAATGATACAATCTGGGCACCCAATACATGCTCTACAGTGTTTCCAGGAGTACCCGTTTCAACAACAGGTAGTTACCACAGAGGTTGCTGTGACTGCCTCGTGTGTTGAGTGTTTGTGGAAGCGCCACCCACTGTCACATCCACTAGCGATGCTGCTCAGTGCATGTCACAGCACCCTGCAATATACGCTCATATCCACCATCGTGGTACACAGCCATGTAACGGGTTAATGCTAATATTGACATGACGGCGAGCTATTTACACCAGATATCAACTTGTCAGACTTTTGTTAATGTAAAGCGTTGTCGTTTCACAAGGCAAGTGTGAGGTTGGTACACCGAGTCTGATTAGCATAGTCAACACTTCTTAATGAGCCATCGGTCATGGTAGCCATGTTGTGCAGTGGGTTCAGAAGATTATAGATGTCTCAGCTGGTTGCCAGGGGATTTTACTTAGTTCTGTGTAGGCCTGAAGGACATACAGTGCAGGTCAGTTATTTCAGAGCTGATAATGACGTTAGTGTGTGGTTGTTTTTTCATTTTTCTGTTGATGTTTGTTTTCATCTTAAGGTTTGTCAAGGATGTAGAGAACAATGACGGAGGAATGTGTTTTCAGAGATGGAGGATGTTTTGTGATTGTTGGCTTGAAATGTATGTTTGATTGTCCTGTGAGGTGGAAGGATAGTTTGTACCTTGTTGCTTCTACAATAGCTGGAAAGATGTGGTTATATCGGGCCTTACGTGGAGTACACAACACAAGCCAAGTCACAGTGCGGAAGGCCTCCATCTTGGGCAGTAGATTTCTCGGACAATATGCTAGTTCTTAACGTTTGTCACGAGGGTGGTATATGTATGTGTAACAGCAACCAAGATAAGACAACCAAGTCTTCCATGATAATATGACCTTATATACAGGCCAACCAAAGAATGAAATAGTTGAATATATGTTAAATTGGTACACCAAACTTCATTGTGCCATAGTGATAAGGCTAATCACACGGAAAATGTTGAAAAGGATACAAATTATCATTTTTCAAGGTATTTGATCATTTTATTGTATGAAACCCGTGAGGATCCTGCGTAAGAATATAGGTCCCCCAGCAACCTGTGCTTAATGGAAGAGGTGACTAATGGATCAGGTGGCCAGGCTCGCTGACTTGGTTGACAGCATGTCATCTATCATTTATGTGGATCGATACTCATGATGGCAATCACTGGATTGTCTGATCCAGACTCGATTGTAGCTGGAACAGTGTGGTGAAGTTAAACAAAATACAAACAATACAGACATTGTTTTTCTGATTGCTTTGGTCTTCAGTAGGGCTGTGGAATGTTGCCTTGAAAAGAGGAGTTGGACCACATTGAAATGATCTGGAATAATCTATGTATTTCTTTGCAGCCAAAGGATTCCCCACCACCATCACAGCGCCCCCCAGAACCCCCAGGAATGTACGGCATGAGGAGTAACGTCGGTAAGTTCTCTATTATATCATGTGTAACAGGGGGCACGGGTGGCACGGGCGTCTAAGGCGCCGCGATTCACTGTGCAGATTTGCGTCGATTGGGCACGCCAGAAACCTATGATTGTGGTTCGAATCCCGGTTCATCCCAATTATGTTTCGAGGTTTGTCAGCACCATACCCGTGCTTGTTGGTTTCGGGCTTCCCTCCCTCATTAAGCTGACATGCAGTGATATAACTGGAATACTGTTAAAACTCACTCACTAACTCACTCAAGATGCACGTCACAACGTCCATGTCCATGTAAACAGCAACTGAAGCTGAGGCAATGTCACTCTGCCCTTGTGGTGTTGACAGACTGCTGTTTTGTTGCCCGCCCCACCCGAATGTATATTTGTCTACCGTGTAATTATCTAGATGTGGGTGCTCAATGAAATTTGCATCTTGATACGATATTAATCCTAATATTCTAGGTGTCTGTACAATTATTATGTTAAAAAAGAACTTTGAACCGGCATGTGTTGTTTTTACCTTAATGTATAGTCCTAATAAGTCCTAAATATATTTCAAACTTTTGTTCCTTCGTTTTTTTGTCTATAAATATTGATTCCAAATTATTTTTTTGTAAATACTTTTTCTCATACATAGTACATGTATACAGAATCATCCATTGTTGGCTGGTGATCTTAAACCATGTGATAAGTACTTAAGAGCTGATTCATACAGGACAAGATATATATTGTTGTTAGTTTGACATGTAAGTAGAAGCAAGACTGTAGGAATGGCTTTCCTTTATCTGGTATTACATACACTTATATAATATTTTACCAATATTTTTTAACCAAAAAAATGTTTTCTTAAAGCCTGAGTATAACATCTGCTGTGAGTTTGTTACACAATTTGAAATCGTGACATGGATAAATATGGGTGTGGTCACATCACACAAGGCCTTACTTTCACCATGTCAGCTAGACAAAGTAACCAGCCCCGCCCTCACTACACCGAGATTGATCATGACCCACTGGTGATCTTGTACTCCTGCCAAGTTGACAGCCTCCTTACAAACTATGCTCCATCTACATTGTAGTGAGCAGAGCCTTGGTCAGCCTTCAGTGCGAGGCCTTAGGAGAAGGGGATTAGTACAAATGGGAGATTTGTTGTTATGATTAACTTTGTTTATCTGTGTGTACAATGTTTACAGTGGTGTGTATATGTATGTATTTGGCCTGGGACTTACTGTGTTAGAGCAATGATACAATGCATGACTGTTACATTGTTGTAGGAAATTATACTCTGTATTGTTCAGGAGTGTTATAGAATTTATTACCAGTCACTGACCAGCTCAGTTACCATGTAGATTATTGAGCTTTGAGCAACCAAATAGTGGATATAAGAAGTGAAAAATAGGTGTTTCTTGACATGCAAACAGAATGCATGCGTTGAAAAATGACAACCTATCTGATTCCATGCTCTTTAAGATTAGGCCACACATATTTTATTTTTTGTTTCACGGGCCTGCCACCCTTTCTGAAAAGCAGCTGGGGGAAAAATAGATATTAAACCTAAAAATATTTTTTATTTTATGTTTCCCAACTGTAGTAAAGGGCATCTTGTACAATATTAAATTCTCTGTCTCCATCACTATCAGTGATTCAAAAATCCACCTGCATTTTTGACTCCATGGCTGAATGACTTTCATATATATAAATGATTGACATAGCCATTTATATTTTGTTTTATTTTGACCGACCTAGTGTGGAGAGCTGCAATAAATCAGTGAAACATAAAATTAAGAAAGTGTGACCTTAGGTCCATTTGTTTGGAAGAATGGATGTAAAGGACAATATAAATTTGAAGTTTTATTTTACATGTGATCTATTCTTTCAGAGCAGTATGCTGGTCCCTCTGGCCCCCGGCGCCCTGGCAACCACATTCCATTCATACAAGATGGTGGACAGAATGAAGTCCTAGAGAAAGATGTGGTAAGGAGGGTAGATCAGTTCTGATTCTTCAATAGCATGGTTAAAGTGTCCGCCCGTCACGCTGAACACCCAGGTTCGATTCCCGGGTACAATGTGTGAAGCCCATTTCTGGTGTCCCCCGCCATGATATTGCTGGAATATTGATAAAAGCTACGTAAAACCATACTCACTCGCTTGCTCTTTTGAGAAGTATATATACTCGAGTGGAGTCTTGTACCCAACTCTATGAAGTAACTGTATGAGACTAGGACTCTCTCTCCATGATGTGGGGGCACGGGGTCGTCTAAGGTGCCACATTTCGCTGTGCAGAGTTGCATCCCTTGAGCACGCCAGAAACCTATGATTGTGGGTTCGAATCCTGGTTCACCCCACTTATGTTTCTAGGTTTGACAGCACCATACCCGTGCTCGTGGGTTTCACCGAAGTGGTAAACGTCTGAGACCTGCATCACTTCAGGCTTTCCTCCCACATCAAGCTGACATGCCGCGATGTAACTGGAATACTGTTAAAAGCGGCGTTAAACCCAACTCACTCACTCACTCACTCCCCATGATGTGTCTTCAGTGTGGCACTGTAACAATGACAAAGGTATGGAGGGGCTTCTCATTTTACCAATATGTGGAATAAAACCCAGGCCTTTGGCTTGACAAGCGAACACTTTAACTACCAGCCTACCTTACTGCCCCTCAATAGCACGAGCGTCAGTGGAATAGACTTCTTAAGTATTCGCTCATCACAACAAACACACAGATTTGATTCAACAAGTAGGTAAAATGTGTGCAGCTCGTTGGTGACACGCTGCTACTGGTGACAACCAGATTGTGAAATAGTCACAAAATATTTCTGGCCAGGGGCCCGTTCCCTCAAAGTGATCTTAGCGCTACGATAATCGTAAACCTTTGTTAAAGTATAGGACTTATGAACATCTTAGCGCTAAGATAGCTTTAAGGAACGGAACCCTGGTTGGTTAGCCAGCCTTTAACATAATTAGCCAGCTTCAAATTTCACTATCTTGAATGAGCAACAGCTTATTTTCCAAAACATTTGATTCAAATTGCAAATCATAAGCCAAATATTTTGAAGAGAGGTAACTCAGAGCTCGTAACTTCGCAACATCGATTCAGTAAGGATATTTTATTTTTATGTTTTGATGGTCAATAAAATGTACAGAAAGGGGAAGAACTGTGCGTAAATAAATCACCGTTATGATTTCTGCTGCCAGTCGGGCAAGGAACATTTCAGAATCTAACAGACAGGCGGCTATTTCCTGCTTTCCCACTTTCCCACTGGTGACAACCAGTTTAAACTTTTGGTAATTTTGTTTGTTGTTTGATTTTGACTAAATGTTTTTTTCTTTGTTGTATATAATAACCAGCAAGTGTACTGACTGTTTCCCTCTTTCAGCAATTGCTGAATCACTGTTTTGATGACATCGAGCGGTTTGTGGCGCGCCTACAGCAGGCAGCTGAAGCATACAAGGAGTTAGAACGTAGGAAACGAGAGCGAGGCAACCGGGCACGAAAGAGACAGAGTGGAGGTGAGCTGCCACTGGTCAATAATGTCACATTCAGTGATACTCGTGGTTGAAGAAATCTTTTCTTTTTCAAATATTGATTTCAAAATGAGCATTATTTTTCAAAAGAGATTTGAAAATTGTATGGATTAGGATGTCTACCTCTGTGGTGCGCTCATTTGAAAAAAATCTAATGAAGTATTTGCATTTAAACATGGCAAGTAGCCTAGTGGTTAAAGCGTTCGCTAGTCACGCCGAAGACCTGGGTTCGATTCTGACATGGGTACAATGTGTGAAGCTCATTTCTGGTGTCCCCCGCCGTGATATTGCTGGAATACTGCAAAAGCTGCATTACCATATTCACTCACACACAAAGCATTCTCAACTTTACGAAGATCCTAAATCTGTGTAATAGTATCGGGGTATAGTCGTATAAGGGCCCTGAATTTACGTTTGGTCTTTTAATAATACAACGTATGATACATTACTTCGTTTTCAGTATTTCAATAACACTATTACTTACATCATTACTTATGATGCACATTAATGCTTCACTGGAAATGTAGACCGAAAACAGGGTTTGTATTGTAACCTGGATGTCCCTTCCACTGGTTTTATGTGTGGAATGTGAATAGTTAGACATTTGCATGGAAAATTTATTTCATTTCGTATTTTGAATGTTTTATTTTTATTGATCATGGTCCTATTTCATTTATTAATTTGAAACAAAACCCCAAATAATGTTGTGCATGAATGTGAGCATGTTTCTATGGAGATGTAAACAGATTGTGCATACTCACTTAAAACTGAAAGTTAAGTTGTGCAGGGAAGTATTTGCTGTGTGGTCAATGTTTCTATTATTTGTTACAGTTTAAGAAACAATATATTTTGTCAACACAAAATTTATCTTTTTTGTTATTCACTGATGACCACCAATTAGGACATCAACGTTTTATGCGCACACATATTTCCCCAAGCTCCACACAGTGTTATCTTTAACAAGAATAAGCTCCACACAGTGTTATCCTTAAAAAGAGCAAGCTCCACACACTGTTATCCTTAACAAGAGCAAGCTCCGTACACTGTTATCCTTAACAAGAGCAAGCTCCACACAGTGTTATCCTTAACAAGGTTGTCACAATGCACAACGGCTTTTGTCACACAGATTGCCTCTGTCTTGAGGCAGCATTGAACAAGCTTCAGTCAGCCAGCTGAACATTTAGCCAAGAGTTTAAATTATTGGCTTGTCATTCCAAGGAGCCAGGTTCAATATTCTACATGGGTACCATGTTTGAAGCCCATTATTCTCTAAGTTATTGCCCTGATTATGTTTCTAGGTTTGTCATCACCATACACATGCTCTTACATTTCACCAAAGTGGTAACCTACAGGTATCACTTCTGGGCTTTCCTCTCACATTAAGCTGAAATGCTGTGATGTAACTGGATACTGTTCAAAGCGATGTTAAACACAACTCACTCGAAACTTCAGGGTTATCATTTGAAGATATTGAGATGCAGAGAGCATCACCTTTGACAAAATATCTAAATACAAATATAAAATATCTTCTTTTTCAACTTTTGTGGGGACAGTTTGAGCCCTGAGTATTTTCCAAAGTACATAGATGTATGTGGGGAGTATGGTGCTTGAACATTGTGCTACTTTGTTCCAGATGGCATGCTGAGTCACAGAGCCCGACCCCCACCTGCCAGTGATTTTATCGATATTTTCCAGAAGTTCAAGTTTTCTTTCAACCTGCTGGTAAGTTAATTCACTCTTTTTTTATTTTTCCGATTATGTTTGTCAGCACTATACCCGTGCTCGTAGGTTCCACCGAAGTGGTAAACGTCTGAGACCTGCATCGTTTGGGCTTTCCTCCCACATTAAGCTGACACGCCGCGATATAACTGGAATACTGTTAAAAGCGGCGTTAAAACCAACTCACTCACTCACTCACTCACTATTTTTCGGAAACCATGACAAGTCTGCTAGTACTAAAAAGCAGGATTCAAGTTTGCTTGAAATATGAATAAGAATCTTTTCCTCCATCGTCTACTTCACAGTTAATTTGTAAGAGATCATGTCATTTTAGTTCGAAGATCCAGGGGCTGATCCCCTTTGAAAAAGGGGGATGCACGTAATAGCTAAGTTACAAGTGACTTGACTGAGGGTGCAGTTGACATGTACACCCTCTTTCGAGCCATCAGTGAGATTTATCTGAACTAAGTTCTTGTTCAATGAGCACAAGGACTCCCAAGGACCTGGGCCAGTTTCACAAAACGATTGTGGCCATTTGACTGTGTCGTAACTTCTACACGTTAACATAAAGTTGAGATGATCATTGAGCTATGATCACTTTCTGAAATGTATTCTGCATTCACTATCGATCCAAGATTTGCTGCGGCCGGTCTCCTTGATTTGGGAGTTAACCATAACATAGGTACAACAAACCTCACTACCTTCCTTTCTGACCTGTGAAGACCCGGGGTAGAATAGGTCTTCAGCAACCCATGCTTGCCATAAAAGGCAACTATGCTTGTCGTAAAAGGCGACTAACGGGGTCGGGTGGTCAGGCTCACTGACTTGGTTGATGCATGTCATTGATCCCAATTGCGTGGATAGATGCTCATGATGTCAATCACTGGATTGTCAGGTCCAGACTCGATTATTTACAGACCGCCGTCATATAGCTGGAATATTGCTGAGTGCGGCATTAAACAACAAACCAACCAACCAACCTTCCTTTCTGTCATGAGATATTATCTTCACTTTACAGGCCAAGTTAAAGGCGCACATCCATGATCCCAATGCACCAGAGTTGGTTCACTTCCTGTTTACGCCTTTAAGTCTGATCTACGAAGCCAGTCGTGATCCGTTCCACGGCAACCGGGATCTTGCCGACCAGGCAATATCTCCTGTTGTCAACCATGAAGCTAAACAACTGTTGCTCAACTGTCTGACGTCCAAGGAGATCGAGCTATGGCAGGCGTTGGGGCCCAAATGGACAACTAGCAGGTTAGATACAACAACCAGGTCCCTCTGGGGATTAGAATAGGTCTCCAGCAACCTATGCTAGTGGTTGTTTGTTAGTCGTAACAGGCAATGGAAACAGTGGTCAGACTCAGTGTCTTGGTTGTGTGGATCGTTGTTTACAATATCAATCATTGGATTGTCTGGTTCAGACTTGGTTATTTACAGACCGCCGGCATGTAGCTGGAATGTTGCTGAATGTGGAATTTGCAATTGATGTGACACCCGGCCGGCTTCGTTATTGCATGGCATCATATCCCGATCAGGTAGATTGATGCTCATGTCAATCACTGGATTGTCTGGTCCAGGCTCGGTTATTTACATGGCGTCACACTAGGAATGACGTCAAAGCTTAAGATTGTTGACGTCAATCAACTAATGGTGGTTTTCTAGGATGGGTGGTGATACTGCATTTTTCTAAAGGGGAGCCCAAAAGGATTAAGAAATAATGGAGAATAAAGAAATTATTACACTCACTCGTGTGTCATACTGATTTTACAAAACTTTGTGTAAGAATTCACGTATTACCCTCACTCGGGAAATACAACAATTCTGACACTCGTTTCGTAAAATCAGTAAGACACACATGCTTGTTTGATAATCTCTATACATTTATTCTGTTGCTACTCTTCCAGAGAAGAATGGAGAGGCTACACGCCCCCGTTTAACCCCGTGTTCTACGATGGCTGGCGACCGTCACCGAGTGTGATCGAGGATTCTCCTCCTCCTCCTCCACCTCAGGTACCATTAGAGGCAGCGGTTCTTGCCCACCACAACCAAATCATGAACCACACGCATGAGTCGGATACTAGGCCAATGGTAATATTATTTAACCCTTCCTCTCCGGAGCATTTCACGAAATGGCTGCTCAGGTTATGAAACCATTAGTTTTGTTGAATTTACAACTAATTTCATGATTTTGATATTTCACATAATATTTTAATGAATGTGTTGATGTTTTTCAAAACATTTTGTTTTCTTTGAAATATAAGAAATTAAGTACAAGCATTGATTGATTTCCTTAAAATATAAACTTTTTGGACATAAAATTCTCTTGAAGTTAAGTGCGTGTAAAATTATAGAAGCAAAAATAGTTCGTGAAATGATCCAGTGGGTTTTTAAAATGATTGCAAATTTCATTTCATTTTCTTTTTAAAAGACATGTTTTGTATTTTCCTGAAATAACAATTTTTTCAAATTATTGCTGAAAATATTTCTTAAAATGGTGAATATAATAAAATCTGAGGATCAGAATAAGAAATCCTTTTAGAAACCCAGACACTAATCCCTCTTTTTCACTGTGTTCTGCAGTTGCATTGTTATAATTTGTTTGCCATGTTGGTAATTGTTTAAAGTGATTGCCATGTTGGTAATTGTTTAAAGTGATTGCCAAGTTGGTAATTGTTTAGATTGATTGCCATGTTGGTAATGTTTAAAGTGATTGCCATGTTGGTAATTGTTTAAAGTGATTGCCATGTTGGTAATTGTTTAGAGTGATTGCCATGTTGGTAATTGTTTGAAGTGATTGCCATGTTGGTAATTGTTTAAAGTGATTGCCATGTTGGTAATTGTTTAAAGTGATTGCCATGTTGGTAATTGTTTAAAGTGATTGCCATGTGTCTGCATGCTCTTAAAATTTTACCGTAGTATGTCCTTAGAAATCCCTTCAATTTATCCGTTTACATTTTGTAAATATATTAGTTTGAAGTGACTAGTGAAACCATTATGTGGACTCCCATGGTAATCCTATTGTTCACTATATGCTTGATATAAATATCCTTGCTCTCATTTCAAAGTTGCATGCGTGTAGTCAAGATAGATTTTAATATACCAGACCTAATTGACCACCAGATATATACTGTTTCAATGTCAATTTGTTAAAATTACAATCTCATTTGACCTAGTACCACTAAAATATTTTTTCAACTTGATTGATTTTCCAAATAAGGACATGTTGATTAAACGTTTTTTTGGTTTTTATAAGAACTTCTTTTGAGACCTTTTCTGTGCTTTATTCAGTGATAAACTGTTTTGCAAATGTTCATTAGAATTGCAAGTATGGTTTAACCCAGCAAGCTGAAGAATCCAGCTATGTAACAGAATATTATATCATTAGTCCAAATATATATAGCTGTTTCTGTATCAGGCAGTAGAAAAGGGAGTCTCTTTCCCCTTTGGTGTAATACACCTGTGTTAAGTCATGCATGCTTTATCCTTGATCCTGTCAATCTCATTAACATCAGATCTTAGTTCTCGCTACCGCTAAACAAGGATCTGAGGACATCCCATTTTGGGTCACGTCTGAACGACCTTTCAACCAACAAATCAGAGAGTTGGTTACCAGATCGGGAAAGTGGCAGAATGTGATTTCTGCAATCTCTGAAAGGTTAACACATTGCATTCCAAATCACAGTTCAAGGTTGTAAACTGATTCCGTCAGAATCACCGTGGAATAAACATTCAAAACAGAAGAGACTTTCTATAGTCCGATGAAGGTACTGCCATACAATCTCGGCCATCTTTTAGACAGTTCAGTTTTCAAATTTAGAATCAAGATTTTTCAAAGCGTAGTTTGGAATGGCATCATTTTGAAACTTGTGCATTAAAGCTCTAGAAAGCTGCTTTTTGACTGGCTAATATCATTTTCTTGTTAGTCATTTCATTGGTTGGTCACAGTTTGCGAAAAGTCTTGCTGACGTGACCTGTAATGGGGTGTCCTCAGATCTTTGTTTAGCAGTAGTAATAACTAAGATCTGATTTAATTGACATTGCGATCCTGTAAAACTAGTATAGGTCTTGTGGTAAAGTCTAGATCTTGTTCAGCATTATATATCTCTCCACACTGTATCCCTACATACCAGTGAATAAACATTTTATGTCATATGCCACTGTATTAACAATGTTACATATTGTATCCACTGTGTATCTCATGAAAGCATTGTTAATACCAGTATGTAATCATGTAACTTTGTGTAAACCTGTGTTCTTGTGGTAACACACACTCTGGTAACATCTAGCACTCATATCCTCTCACACATAGAACTGCAATATCAACTCACAGTCATCCTGAGTGCACTATGGACATTAACACACAATGTATCTAATTAAAGAATCAGTAAGGACATACTTCTCAGGTTAGGATTGGTTGGAATGTGGATACTCCAGGAATGTTTGAGTAAAGTTTATTAGAGAGCCAATTTGACATGTAACGTTGAAGTAATTGGATTAACAATGTTATGTGATAACCTTGATAATTCTTGAATTAAAATTTAGAAAAATACCTCTTTAAGCAATTTCTGCCATTGATGTGTATAAAGATTAGTGACCAACTACAAAAAGTGGACTTTATTAAGTCTATGAAATACAGGCGTCACAAAAACTTAACCAGAGTCACTATTTGAGTTAAGGATTTAGATATATCTGATTGAGCTTTTTCAGATTCATTTTTTGTTCATGTTGAATATTTGCTTCTTACAGCCTACCTACCAAGAGGATGATTATCAGCGTAGATTTGAGCCACCACGCCCGTCACCGCGCCCACCAAGCCCACGGCCGCCGAGTCCGCCAAGGCATGCTATTCAGAGTACTTCAGCAGTGTACCCAGAATATGTAGAACAGCCCCAAGAGAGGTTGGATATATGTCCAGAGGATCTACTTGAGTGTGCCTGGCTTGACTTTCCCTGCTTGTAGTCTGCGGAAGCCCAGCGCTGCCTTTATCTATATGGGTGTCCTAGAAACAAGCTTTATCAATCGTTAATGCTTTTTGACAATTAAGATCTTGATAGTTTAGTTGATGTAGTTTAGGTAACATTTTGAAAAGAAATGTTTAGTAGCTGCTAAAGAATGAGATTTTACTTTTTAAATTTGAGAAACCTGGGGTTTTTTTCATTGTGTGGAAAATTCTTCTTTTTTACAGATTAATTATTCATTTGATATTAATGAGCTTTTAGCAATTGTTTAAGCAGGGGGAAAGCAGAAGGGTACTGTTCAAAGTGCACAGTTTGACGTTGGTATTTTGGTATTTTTGGTATGCATGACCTTTCTTTACCAAGCCGTTTTCAACCACATAATATGTTTTTGCATCTTGGATATTTTCCCAGTTCCAATTCTTCTCATGTTTGGTTCCTTTCTCCTCCCACCACCAACACGGGGGAATATTCACACAATTATTTTGAGATGGTCCCTTTCCTCCATGTTAAATCCTCTCCTTGTGCTGTCTACCTCTGGTCCTGCAAGAGTTGTCTTTCCTGATTTGTTGCAGTTGCTTGCTTCAGTTTGTAGCCATAAAGTGACTGCCATCAAGAGAACAATGTAGTCTCATATTTTCATATTTCTTAAGGGGCGGTGGAGTAGCCCATTGGTTAAAGCGTTTACACGTCAAACCGAAGCCCCAGTTTGGATTCTCCAAACGGGTACAATGTGTGAACCCCGCAATATAGAAGTTTTCAGTCTCTTTTCATTGCAATACTGAAACAAGCAACAACCGTGAATCAGGAACGACTTGGGTTTTTTTTATCAAGATTTGATCTAAAAAAATGTACTAACACTTTATCATGTTTGCTGCAAGATGGTACTCATATTTAGTGTTTATTTTAGTTAACTCTAACATGTGGTTTAAAACTTTGACGGGGATATTTAGCCTGATCTATAAATCTCTCGCAGATAATTAGTATTATTATTTGCATATATTTGTAAATATTTATATTTAAAATATCATTGCACAGACAGGCTAACTAACAGCCTTTAATGGCTGTTTAAACACTGCTATCAAGTCGAACATATTGTAATATATAACTATTGTTGAATATTTTAATGTCAAGTAGAGCCGACTCCATTATTACTGTTAAATTCCTGTTAAGTGTTGTGCTTTCAGTAATGTACATCTGCTTTTTGACGACGGAGGAAAATAATTTTATTTCTCAGGTAACATTTTGACGGTGGTGATTGTTCTGATATTTCTAGAAACCGTCCCGAAATGAGGCGTCAGTCTCCTACATCGTCACGAGATGAGGAAAACGCAGCCTACCTGGATGAGCTGAGGCGGGGTGGTCATCAGTAAGTGTCCCTCCGGGGTAGAATAGGTCTTCAGCAACCCATGCTTGCCGTAAAAGGCGACTATGCTTGTCGTAAAAGGCGACTAACGGGATCGGGTGGTCAGACTCGCTGACTTGGTTGATGCATGTCATCGATCACAATTGCGGGGATCGATGCTCGTGATATTTATCACTGGATTGTCTGGTCCAGACTCGATTATTTACAGCCAGCCGTCATATAGCTGGAATATTGCTGAGTGCTGCGTTAAACAACAAACAAAAAAAGCCCACACAGCCCTGCTGCATGACAATTTTTTCAAAAGGCTGTAGTGTCTTTATATCTTGTTTTTTACCAAGCTGCTGAGGAAAAATATGATCAGGTGATCTGAAGCTAAAAATATGGTAAATTTAGGATATTTTTTTGACTAGCCACAGTCACCATAGCCTATAAGTATTTTGAGTAATGTGGGAGGAAAGCCTGAAGTGATGCAGGTCTCAGATGTTTACCACTTGGTGAAACCCACAAGCATGGTTATGGTGGCAACAAACCTAGAAACATAATCAGGGCAGAGCAGGATTCGAACCCATGATCATAGGTTTCTGGCTTGCTCAAGGGGTGCAACTTTGACAACTGGGCCACTTGTGGCCACTAGATTTTAATGTTATGTAGTTTTGCAAACACTGACAAAAATGTGTGTTCATAATTCTGCTAATTTACTCCAAAAAAGGAAAAGGAAAGTTTTACTTGGAAACAAAACTAATATATTTAGTTTTTATTGGCCATGAGTAGTGTTTCAGTGTAGAAAAAACAAAATCTTCTTTGGCCAAAAGGAAGCTTTTATGCAGAGGAGAATATGCAGCTTGAAGATGTTGAAGCAAATGTGTTTTTAATCAGTTTGAAAATATGACGATTAATTGAAATGTTTTTGTTTATAGAGTTTACGAAGCACTTCATGAAAGAAAGGGCAAAAATCAAAAAGAAATCTCAGTGAATAAAGGAGACATCTTGCAGGTGAGTGTCCCACCACCCCCTGGTTACATCCCCTGGTATCCCTCAGGACAACACCATTCCCACCACCCCCTGGTATCCCTCAGGACAACACCATTCCCACCACCCCCTGGTATCCCTCAGGACAACACCACTCCCACCACCCCCTGGTATCCCCTAGGACAACACCACTCCCACCATCCCATGGTTACACCCTCCCCTCAGGACAACACCACCCCCTGGTTACACCCTCCCCTCAGGACAACATCACTCCCACCACCCCCTGGTATCCCCTAGGACAACACCACTCCCACCACCCCCTGGTATCCCCTAGGACAACACCACTCCCACCAACCCCTGGTTACACCCTCCCCTCAGGACAACACCACCCCCTGGTATCCCTCAGGACAACACCACTCCCACCACCCCCTGGTTACACCCTCCCCTCAGGACAACACCACTCCCACCACCCCCTGGTATCCCCTAGGACAACACCACTCCCACCACCCCCTGGTATCCCCTCAGGACAACACCACTCCCACCAACCCCTGGTATCCCCTCAGGACAACACCACCCCCTGGTATCCCTCAGGACAACACCACTCCCACCACCCCCTGGTTACACCCTCCCCTCAGGACAACACCACTCCCACCACCCCCTGGTTACACCCTCCCCTCAGGACAACACCACTCCCACCACCCCCTGGTATCCCCTAGGACAACACCACTCCCACCAACCCCTGGTATCCCCTCAGGACAACACCACTCCCACCACCCCCTGGTATCCCCTAGGACAACACCACTCCCACCACCCCCTGGTATCCCCTCAGGACAACACCACTCCCACCAACCCCTGGTATCCCCTCAGGACAACACCACCCCCTGGTATCCCTCAGGACAACACCACTCCCACCACCCCCTGGTTACACCCTCCCCTCAGGACAACACCACTCCCACCACCCCCTGGTTACACCCTCCCCTCAGGACAACACCACTCCCACCACCCCCTGGTATCCCCTAGGACAACACCACTCCCACCACCCCCTGGTTACACCCTCCCCTCAGGACAACACCACTCCCACCACCCCCTGGTTACACCCTCCCCTCAGGACAACACCACTCCCACCACCCCCTGGTTACACCCTCCCCTCAGGACAACACCACTCCCACCAACCCCTGGTATCCCCTCAGGACAACACCACTCCCACCACCCCCTGGTATCCCCTAGGACAACACCACTCCCACCAACCCCTGGTATCCCCTCAGGACAACACCACCCCCACCACCCCCTGGTATCCCCTCAGGACAACACCACCCCCTGGTATCCCCTAGGACAACACCACTCCCACCACCCCCTGGTATCCCCTCAGGACAACACCACTCCCACCAACCCCTGGTATCCCCTCAGGACAACACCACCCCCTGGTATCCCTCAGGACAACACCACTCCCACCACCCCCTGGTTACACCCTCCCCTCAGGACAACACCACTCCCACCACCCCCTGGTATCCCCTAGGACAACACCACTCCCACCAACCCCTGGTATCCCCTCAGGACAACACCACTCCCACCACCCCCTGGTATCCCCTAGGACAACACCACTCCCACCAACCCCTGGTATCCCCTCAGGACAACACCACTCCCACCAACCCCTGGTATCCCCTCAGGACAACACCACTCCCACCACCCCCTGGTATCCCCTAGGACAACACCACTCCCACCACCCCCTGGTATCCCCTCAGGACAACACCACTCCCACCACCCCCTGGTATCCCCTAGGACAACACCACTCCCACCACCCCCTGGTATCCCTCAGGACAACACCATTCCCACCACCCCCTGGTATCCCCTCAGGACAACACCACTCCCACCACCCCCTGGTATCCCCTAGGACAACACCACTCCCACCATCCCATGGTTACACCCTCCCCTCAGGACAACACCACTCCCACCACCCCCTGGTTACACCCTCCCCTCAGGACAACACCACTCCCACCACCCCCTGGTTACACCCTCCCCTCAGGACAACACCACCCCCTGGTATCCCTCAGGACAACACCACCCCCTGGTATCCCCTAGGACAACACCACTCCCACCACCCCCTGGTTACACCCTCCCCTCAGGACAACACCACCCCCTGGTTACACCCTCCCCTCAGGACAACACCACCCCCTGGTTACACCCTCCCCTCAGGACAACACCACTCCCACCACCCCCTGGTTACACCCTCCCCTCAGGACAACACCACTCCCACCATCCCATGGTTACACCCTCCCCTCAGGACAACACCACCCCCTGGTATCCCTCAGGACAACACCACTCCCACCACCCCCTGGTATCCCCTAGGACAACACCACTCCCACCATCCCATGGTTACACCCTCCCCTCAGGACAACACCACCCCCTGGTATCCCTCAGGACAACATCACTCCCTGGTATCCCTCAGGACAACATCACTCCCTGGTATCCCCTAGGACAACACCACTCCCACCATCCCCTGGTATCCCTCATTGCTTGTTCTTTGATGGAGCACTCAGCAATATTCCAGATATAAGTTATGGTGTAGATATTTGAAGCTGGACCAGACAATCCAGTGAGTGAACCAAAAAAGTTGAATTAGGTTTGTTTCAGTCATATATATACCCCAAGTCTATGACCTGAAAAATCATACTCCAAATAGATTAATTCTGGTAAGGTTGGCCACTGGTGTGTTTGCTATAAGTAGTTACTGGCATCAGTCCCCATTTAATTCACAGATTTGACCAAAAAATTGTTTTCTGTTTGCTGCAGGTGGTGGACAGTAGCCGGAAGTGGTGGAAGGTGCGGAACTACAAGGGCGAAATGGGTTATGCCCCTTACACAATACTGACCGAGGTCAAGGACTTGGGATACGGAACGGTTAGTTGGTCACGACACTAGATTCAATGTATTCTCGTTTTATGAAAACTCATCTGTTAAAGAGAGTGGTGATCAAATATCATTTGAATTGAATTTTGAATATTGTTAGCCTTTACTTTTTTAATGCTTCACCACTAAATCCTTGCCTTTCATTTTGTAGCTGTATGTTTGCAATCAACACTTCACATTTAGTTTTCAAACTAATGTCATGGAACTTACGCCATGTACAGTCTTCCTTGTACAGATTCAATTAATAGACTTATTGACGTGTGATGTGCAAGCTGTCTGGGTGGTCTTGTGTTCTACGTTTTCTTTAAATCGTTCTTCTGGAAACATTCCATCATGAATGGCGGGCGGACCGTCTTTGTGCTACGACTATCATAAGCCAGTGTTAAAGTATGGGAGTTACAATTGTCTTTGTGCTACGACTATCATAAGCCAGTCTTAAAGTATGGGAGTTACGATTGTCTTTGTGCTACGACTATCATAAGCCAGTGTTAAAGTATGGGAGTTACAATTGTCTTTGTGCTACGACTATCATAAGCCAGTGTTAAAGTATGGGACTTGCGATCGTCTTTGTGCTATGACTATCATAAACCAGTGTTAAAGTATGGGAGTTACGATTGTCTTTGTGCTACGACTATCATAAGCCAGTGTTAAAGTATGGGACTTGCGATCGTCTTTGTGCTATGACTATCATAAGCCAGTGTTAAAGTATGGGAGTTACGATTGTCTTTGTGCTACGACTATCATAAGCCAGTGTTAAAGTATGGGAGTTACAATCATCTTAGCGCTACAACTATCATTAATCGGTGTATGGGTATGGGACTTACGCTTGTCTTGGCGCTATGATCGCTTTGTGTGACGGGTCCCTAGTTGCAGTTTCTCCTCCTGACTACACTTAGAAAGAAATAAGTATTAAACTGAGTATAATCCTTGCCCAGGACAGTTCTCAGAGCCTGAAAGGTTTGCTTATATATATATTTGAATTTAGTATGGACCATTTATGACATATTCTATATTTTGTGAGTATCAATAACATGGAATGTTTTACTTTGTTTCAGTGCAATACTGATTTAATAAACGTTGACGTACATGTTTAGATAAGACAAAGGTACACAGTATAACAACAGTATAAGTGTTGAGGCATGTCCGCTTCATTGCATGATTATTGCAGTGTTGCAGTCTTCTGTGGACCTAAATATTGTGAATGGAAGGCCCTTGTACACTCGTGTTTGCAGACTCTGGAAAGACTGCATGCACCCATTGTTGTTCATGACTATCTGCAAAGAATGAATCTTTTCTTCGTTCAGTAAATAGTTCATCACATGACTATCACATGACAATCATGTGACTGTCATGTGACTGTCATGTGACAATCATTGTACTCTTCTCTGTGTGGTTTAACCTATGACCTAATGTAGATTTCCCATTTAATATTGCCGACATTTTGCACATGTAAATGTGCCTTAATTTAAATATTATTATTCATTGTGAGGAGGTTTCAATGCATTTGAATTATGAGGTATATAAATGTCATAAATGTCACTGCAACTTTCTACAATTACAACATTTCCTTCCTGATAAGAATATTGGTCAAAATATTCAAAACATGTTGTGAAGAAAACTTTTTGCTTTATTTGTCAACAAGAAGTCATAGATGAGATCATCAACCAATCACATCTGTCATCTTGGTCATATGACTGTATCTTTTATTCAGGTTCCCCGCAATTAGTTGCGCAGCATTGATTCCGTAGGTAGCCAGCTGGAGTATTTACAAGCTTGCCATATTAACCCCCTGAGTGTGTATACACCGCATCATACAGTCTCTTGTCTTGTCTTACATCATACTTGCCGTACAACTTCTTTCATTCAACCAAGGAAATTGTCAAGACTAAAATTATGAAAAGGCATTAATTTTGTTGTGGTTCTGATTGCCATGTTTATATAAATTTTGGAGGGAGAATATTTCAGTGTCAATAGAGTTGTGATGTGTGTGCCTGTCGGTGTGTGGTGTGTTTGTTGGGGAGATATGTGTGTATCTGTTTGTGTGGTCTGTCTATGTGGTCTGTCTATGTGTTGGGGTTGTTGTCTCTTTAGCTAGAACCTTATTTTAAAGAATATACTTAAAAAACATGGCCAGAGCCACAACATTATTAATTGTATGCCTATATTGTATTTTGATACAAAAAATTACCCCAAAAATTATTGTCAAAATTTAAATTGTTTTATTATTTTGTTTCAAGAAGAAAGAAGTTGTAGCTTGTTTCGACTGAGAAATAACAGCATGTGGAGTGTTGTTGGACTCAATGGTTCCCCGGTCTACTACCATGTCTTGTGTTGGATAGTGGACATTGTTCTGGAGTTGTCATTAGAACTTAAGTGTTGTCATAGAAATGAGTTGTCCACTGGGAATTCTGATTGGCTGAAAACAGATCCAGTTAGTCTTACTAATGCAAGAGGAAATAATTAATGATAAGTTCATGCATGTTTCAATTATTGATTTTTTCTTTTTCAAATGGCATCTTTTAAAACACAATTAATATGATGTTCTGTAACCTTTTTTTATTTAGTGGCCCTCCTTTATTTCATGATTTGCTGTATTTGACCTCTGAGCATTAACCTAGCATCATTCTTGTGAAGGAGGGTGGGGGGGTAAAGTGTTTGCTTGTCATACCCCAAGTTCAATTTCCGATATGGGAACAATGTCTATGGCCCATTTCTTGTGTCCCAAAATGATATTGCTGGAAGCAGCATAAAACTGAACACACTCACTGATTGTTGTGAGGTGTCAGGATTACATTGGTCCACTGCCACCTTGTCGTGTCTTCCTTGCATTGTGATAAACAAGTGTTATGGGACTTACTCATCAAACATAGCATGTCTGAAGAATAGAAAGACAATAACAGAAGGAAGTGATTTTCGTGTTAGTTACTGGCTTTACAGTTTTACAATGGGGTCTCCTTAGAACAATTTATATTAGAGAGACATTTAACTCTCTTTTTTTTTAAAGAAAACTATTTTTTACAAGAGCTGTTGTTGTTGGCTTGGGCTGAGTTTTTAATTGACTGTTTTTCTAAAGTTTGTGGAAATGTTAGTTAGAGATGTACAATGGTTTTGTGTTGGAGTATGTACAGAGAAACACTCATCACCAGGCTATTTATCTTAAATATATGATATCTTTATTTTGTGTTAGTATGTCTTTCTGTCCTGTCTCTTGGTCCACACCCTTTCTTCTCAAGCTCCCTCAGTCTAATATCATTTCAATTCGAGTTTCTGACACAATTCAAATCTTGATTGGAATTATTTTATTTAAAAAGTGCATGCTTATACAGAGATTAGCCACTTCAAATTTTGTCCATGGGCTGGTTCATTGGTATTGACAGCTATGTGCAATTTATTTCTTTTTGTAATGCTGGGAAAATATGTCTTTAGAAATTTTAGTATTTTTAATTTGTTGGTTTTGTTCTCACCTTCTATAAATGTTGAATCTTTCAACTGAATATTAAGACATCATTTGCTTTTTTACCAAATATGTTTGGCCTGGTGATGGGTGTTGTTAACATCAATATCTTGCATGGTGTGTAACATGTCATTGGTTTAATCCTTGTGGTGCAAAGAATTAACAAAACTGGTCTTCTTGGATAGCATGTGGATTTTGAGCAAAACAGATTCTGTGCCCATGTTTGTTTTAACATCCCAATGGGGATCAGTGGCCACAATGAAACAGCACCTGGATCGGTGATGGCCAAGGAAGACAACTCTTGTAGTGACCTGCTTGATCATGATGCTGACACAGCTGGTATCATTGCTCGCATCATCAACCGCTGGTTGGACTGCGGGGCAGGGTGGCCCAGTTGTCCCAGGTGCCACAGTTTGCTGCACAGTTGCATCCCTTGGCATGATTGTGGGTTTGAATCCTGGATTTGCCCTGATTATGTTTCTTGGTTTGTCATCAACATACATGTGCTCATGGGTTTTTCCAAAGTGTGCAGGGGCGGTCGGGTAGCCTGGTGGTTAAAGCGTTCGCTCGTCACGCTGAAGACCCGGGTTCGATTCCCGACATGGGTACAATATGTGAAGCCCATTTCTGGTGTCCCCCGCCGTGATATTGCTGGAATATTGCTAAAAGCGGTGTAAAATCAAACTCACTCACTCACTCACACCAAAGTGTGCATGTCCTTTTCTCCCCCACTTCAAGTTGATATAACTGAAATACTGTTCAAAGCTGTCTTAAACTGAACACTCACTCACTAGCCCGGACTTGTTTCCTTTACGGACATTGCACTATCCAGTAGCATTGCAGACACTTGCATTCATTCATTCATTCATTCATTCATTCATTCATTCATTGACTCACTTGCCTACCTATTCACTCTTGCAGAATGGTTTTTTTCTCCAATTTCTGTTTTTTCTCTTTCCTAATTTAACAGTTAATAGTACAGCTGAAAGTATATTTGACTTTAATTTGGTTTTGTAGGGTTAATGTACTTCATGAATATAGCATTCCATATTTGTTTGTTGAAAAAGTCTTGAAAAGAATTTCAGTTGAATTTATATATGTATAGAAGTCCTTTTAGGTAATAGGATATCAGATTGTTCTTAGGTGAATATACAATACAATATCATTTCAGGACTTGGGCCGCGACCGAAACAGTGGCAACTACAACAACTTCCTGCCTAACGACCAGCCACCAGCGCCCCCTGTGCCACCTCCCGCCCCTGATATTGGCAGGAGCAGACAACCCAAAAGAGGTGACTTTAAATACTTCTAGGGTCGTCAGCTGAAATAATCTACCCTTACCAGTGTGGTTTTATGTGTTCTGTTCAAAGGTCATAAATACTACCAAAATTGGCGAGATTGTGAGGACAATAAATCTGTATTCTCAATTTTATTACAAAATGCCAATAAATTTATCGTCCAATCGACGAAATTGTACATAGATTTCCGTGCAGCTTCATTGGCAGAAAAAACAATGTCACATTAGATAGGCTTGATACAACAATACCCATCACTCTGTGTTCCTGAAGGTTAGATGATGTGCAATTTGGGGAGTAGGAGGACCAAATAGTTCCTGGTTTAACAAAGAAACGGTTGTGCCACGATGGTCATTACTCCTATGTCAGTTTATCATGGACTTAAAGGGGCGGGTGGATAGCACAGTGGTTAATGCAATCGCTCATCAGGTCAAACACTGGGTTCGATTCCCGACATGGGTACAATGTTTGAAGCCCATTTTTGGTGTCCCCTGCCGTAATATTGCTAAAGGCGGCATAAACCATTCCGACTCATTCATAGACGTACTGCAGTCGAAGTGCTGCAATTGCTTTGTGAACGGGAACAAAATGACAACATGAGATACGATGAAACAGATTAATAGGAAAGTGAGGGTATGAGTTTCAAGCTTGTCCATATCTATTTGATTTGTCATAATATCAAGTCAGTTGTGTGTTATTATTTTTTTCCAAATCTATGCAACTATAAGGGAGGGGGGGAATCGATGTTAATATATATTTCATTGACTGTGTCATTATGTTCATATCATTCCTCATTAAACATGTGTATTCCCAATACAATGTTATAGTGTCAGTTTGCAAAAAAACAATGTTTTATACAAACATTGAAACTGGTCAGTAAGAGTATCTTCCCTTTTAGAATCACCTTCACTAAAAGTCTATTTCCTTTTGAACAATGAGAAGGTTCTTTAACCTTGAAGCTTGAACGGGAAGTTACTGAAGGGGAGGTAACTCTTACATGCCAAGGGAGACAACTACTTTCCCTTTTGCACATGAAGTATTATAGAGGTAGGAGACATGTAGGTTAAAGCAACACCTGCTTGAATTATATATGTATGTATATTGTATTTGTATATTCTGGAAACATGTTTTGAAGATTTTAGATTTAGAAAGTGTACTGTTTATATTTGCTTCACATTCAGCTGAAAATTGCCGCTTGTTATAATTTAGAGCATTTTGCTCACTGCAGAACAAGAATTGATCTGTACATATTTGTTTCTGATGCAACTTTATAATGTGGCCTTAAGTGCTTTGAAAGAAGATTGAATTTATTATGAACTTTTGTATAAATTTTGTTATTTTATCAGTTAGATATGTTTTTAATTTGAAAACATTTCATGTCAATTTAATCACAAATCATAAAGCACTGAATAGATCACCCATTAGCGTTGACATAATTCTGGTACCCGGCTAGTGAAAAGGTTGACACTAATTGGTGCTTGGAATAAAATAACAAAAGAATTATTCTCAAATATTAGAGATAAACCTTCATGATAGGTTGTTGATAAGAAAGAAGTTCTTTTTCTCCAATGACATTTTAATAGGATTATCATAGTTTTTCTTGATATGCTGGTACTTACCTGGTTGAGGAAGCTTCAGCCGAGCGTTGTGCAGGGGCGTCTTGTACAGTTAAATGGCAGTGGTGAATGTTGGTCTCTATATATAAAAGGTCAAAGAATATTTGACTACGAGTTGCTATTTAAATCACCTACCTCCCAGAAATGAAAAATAAATGTACATACATTGATTTGGTTGATCTGTAAAAATTGTACATTTTGGTTTATGGTTCTTTGGAATAAGCAGTAGTGTATTCTCAGTAACACCAACTTTTCTTTATGTTTTGAAAATGTGAATTTTGTGTTCTCCAGTATTCTTGCATAATAGCAGTGAAATCAACATTTGATGATTCTTTTTGGAATAAAAATGGCAAAAAAAAGAGCCAACTGTAATATGCTGAAAATGTTGAAATATGAGTTAAGGATTTCAGTTATCAAATAGCAGCATAATACCCATGAAAATATAACAGTAATAACCCGTACTCCCCAGTCTGGGCGATATAGGTGTTATTAGCCTCGTGTATGGTTAGCATTATTCAGCATATCTGACTCATTGATAATGGTAATATTTGTTATGATTATTGGAAATTTATGATCCATTATATTTTTGAAACCATTGTACATGTACTTGTACAACAATGGAAACATTTGTATCCAAATGTGAATCTATGACTGAACTAAAACCAAGTTACTATGGCAAGTTTACACTGTGTATGGCTATTCCTATAACAGTAGACAGATAATGGCTCTGATTGTAGTCACTTTCAGGTATTTTCCTTGAGTATTCTGATTGCCTCAGGCTTGTATCACTTCTGTATTATTTTAAAAGTTACTTTTTTTATACACACATTTCAACCAAATTTCTCAGTCTAAGGTTCTTCTTCCACAGAGAGGAGATAACTGCTTTGATTTGCACTAAATCCCTGAACTTGGCTAAACGCAACTGATTCCATAGTATTAAGAGGTTACTGCTGGGGTCACAGTGTCAGTTGGCATGTTTCCCAACTACTCATAATTGGTCTGCACATTTACAAATATCAAATCACTTATCTGCAATATGACAGATGTTTGATCACAACTTGACTTATGTCACTTTTTAATTAGAATTTGATTAGCAAATCAACTTTGCAATATATTTGTGTATATAGATTTTATTGACAAATATTACCAGCCAGATAATTAGACACCTGGGCTGATGTTAGTATTGAGTACAATAGAGTATTCTTGTCATCTGAAACCATGCTGATGTTCAAATGATTATTTAGTGGGGAATACTTCGAACCTTTAGAGGAGACTGATTCAGAGTACTTAATACCAGTTAATATTCTGTATTCATTAAGATAGTACTTCCTACGCAAGTATATATCCATAAGTTATTCATCTAACTGTGTACTGTTAAGTAAATATTTGTTGTATAAATTTATTATATTATCTTGTCTCCTTTTAAGGTGTTTGAAATATTCTCCATTTCGCCTCATTTGTAAATTGTTTTGACAGTTTTGTAATTTTGTTACTGCCCCATGGTGAGGTGATGGAAATGGGCCCTCATTGGTCAGGTTTGCGTTTTGTCATGCATGTTACCATGGTTTCAAAAACATGCCTCCATGACAGCTTGTTACCATGGTGATTTGTTGCTATGGTAACGAAAATGTCATGATGCTGTATTTGATTCGATTAATTATTCCCATCTGTCTGGTTTTCTGTATTCTTTTATATATTTTCTGGTGTCCTCTCATCATTATAACGTACTGACAAACTACTCTGGTTCATAGTTTAGAAGCTTATTTTGTAACCCAAATCCTCATTACTGCATCTCCTTGGCAACAACCTTTACTAAACCCTTATTTGGCAATGGAAGCATGCCATTTACAGCATTTAGAGGGGTCATTCCTTGGCTTCTCAACTCACTGTCTTTAACTTGGTTAACACTTCCTAACTGCGTATGATAACCACATCACAAACATGTCATCACAATGCCTGCTTATTGAGTTCACTTCCTGCATTGCTAGCCTGCACTGTAAAAACGGATAAGTTTGTAATATGAAACATTGAAAGATGGAATATGTATTCAAATTTTTTTGGGAAGTAAGAAAACAGTATTACACCTCTTTTTGTTTTATGAAAAATGATTCTGAACAGTATTAAAATCTTCAGTAATGCTCATAGCTCGATTTACAACTTTGAATATTCTTGCATGTATCTACTTGATCTATGTTTCTCTATGCCAATCAAGCCTCACTCACCAGCATGTCACATACACATAACCGCTAATCAGAATGGATTTTATTCAAGACATCGCATGAGAAAATTACTTCAGTTTCGCCTGTATGTGTACATTTTGCTATGAAATAATTTGCTCGTGAGTGTGACAGTACTACAGTGTATTCTGCATGTTTTGCCTGATGTTTCATGCATGTTCGGGCTGACAAGGCTTCTGCAATCCTGACCAGAGTTATCCCCCTTTCATCACTCTCCTATGCTGTAAATGACAGAGCATATCAAGTTGTGTTACCAAGTGAGGAAAATGTCAAACATATTTTGAAATATATTTATATACAAAAGATAATTACTGCATGTATTATTGCTAACATTTAAATAAAAAGCAATATTTGTACTCAGAGAAAGTTGGTTTGTAGTTTGTTCACAAAATTGGACGGTTTTATTTTGTTCCCAAAACAAACATAAATGGTGGCATGCATGACAGAGGTAGTATTGTTAGATTAGCTTTGTTGGTGATTTCTCATGGTGTGATGAAGAGCTGGATGGTGTGTCGTGGACAAATTGACGATGGGACGGAAGCGAGAAGGATCATACTCAACAACCCAAAGCTGTAGTCACAAGGGAAAAGGAGAGAAATTAATGCAAAGCTAACTTTGATCGTTGCTACCATGCTTCATCCTTTGTCGGGGCCCAGGCCTCAAATATGCTGCCGTTTGCTTTGCAGAGTTGAGTCCCTTAGGTGTGCCAGAAATCTATCATCATGGGTTTGAATCCCAGATTCGCCCTGCTGTGTTTCTAGGTTTCTCGGCACCAGACCATTGCTGGTGGGTTTCACCGAAGTGGTGAACATTAAAGCCGGAACGACCTGCGTCACTGTGGGCCTTTCTCCCACCTCAGCTGACACACCGTGATGGACTTGTGTAAAGTGGCATCAACAAAACTCCATTGCAGGATCAGTTATATTAGGCAAAAAATAAACATACATGGTTTCCAGGTACTGGCACATCAGAAAATGGTGCAGCATTTTCTTACTTTTTTGGACAACTAATAAATTTTGCTCATGTTTTACTTTTCACACTAAAAACACACCAATCTCCCAGAAGTCACTGCTTGAGAAACAAGTGTTATATTTTTTCAGCCTAACTATAACTCGGGGGTGTTATGACATGTTATTGCCCCTGCTTGCAGCATCATGTTCTGAAGTCACTCAGTGTTGCCTGTGAGGCCAGCCGAACTCCACGACACACAACATCCAACTTGACCATGGAAACATCAAAATGCAACATTTTAGTTAATTCCAAATAAGGACACAAATTAATTATATGATCTTCATCCAAATCTGGATTCAATGTTCAACTTGATTTGCGCATCTGAGGAAATGAAAGACCAGGGTCCCGTTCCACAAAGCGATCTTAGTGCTCAGACTATCATAAGCCCATATTAAAGTATGGGAGTTACAATCATCTTAGCATTAAGATTGCATTGTGGAATGGCACCAGGTGGGATAAGCGTCTTTTTGCCCAAAGAATGTGCATAATTTATGAAATGAACGCAACTTTTTTTAAATGAGATGAATTAGAATTTTTTCTTTTTCCAAGCATTTTACGTACTTGTACAACACTGAATGTAGTGAGATGTGTCAAAATGATGATTTAAGACTTTCAGGAAGAGTTAGTTCCATCATTGGAACGTAAGCTATTGATCCAAGCTTCATGTCCAAGGTTGTGTGGGTGAAGTTGGTGCAAATATGTGATATACGATTCATCTTGTGTCACAGACTTGCTCATAGTTTGATGTCCTCGTGAATTGGAACAAAAGACCTTTGTCACTCATTTTTAGCCAACGTTTGTACTTGGTAATGTCACAAGTTCAAAGACCGCCTCTGTGGTCTTGTGGTAGAGCGTCCGCCGGAGAGCGGAAGGTCCAGAGTTCGATCCCCGGACGCGTCATAACAAAAGACGTTCAAAGATGGTACTTGTTGTAGCCCTGTCTGGCGCTCGACATTAAGGGGCTAAAACAAGGACTGGTCGGCTCAGAGTCAGTATACTGTGTCTGAGTGGGGTATTCATGTTAAACTGCGGCATGGTATCTCAGTGAGCTAGCACTATAAATCGGAATCAGTCCGGACTAGTACAAGCAGCCACACCGTGCTATATAAGTGCAATAATCTTGGACGGACGTTAAACCCAATTTCACCTCACCTCATAAGTTCAAAACTTGCAGGGGCGGTCGGGTAGCCTAGTGGTTAAAGCGTTCGCTCGTCACGCCAAAGACCCGGGTTCGATTCCCGACATGGGTGCAATGTGTGAAGCCCATTTGTGGTGTCCCCCGCCGTGATATTGCTGGAATATTGCTAAAAGCAGCGTAAAACCATATTCACTCACTCACTCACTCACTCACTCACTCACTCAAAACTTGCAAGCTTAAGGAAGAAAAAAAATCAGTTGAATGATCATGTTACCAAGTTGTCTGCGTCTCTAGTGGGCCTACAGAGGTTCTTTGTCATAGTGTCGTCTTGTAATCCTGATCCACCTCATGACATTTCTCACTGATATACCAGATTATACATTTTGTTACACCTGCCATGATTGTCATGGAAACGGGTTCATAGAGAAACCTAAGAGTGTCCCGAAGTGCAGTCATTCAGGTGTGGTCTCTAAACACCCCTGTACACAACTAGTAATGTCATATAATGTTGCCCTTAAGGACAAGGGTATAGGAGAAATTATTTTCAGTATTTCTCACTCAGTGTTATGACAATTTTCCCCTCGTTTGCAAAGAGGCCCATAGCAATACAACATAATATGAATGCATTGTCATCAATAGTTAAAGATGTTATCCATTTTTATGACACCACGATCATTTTTTTTTTAGTCAATGAACCTGATGATCATTTGAGATCAGCAAACTCTATCTACATCCTCAGAAAGGGGTTCGATTCCCCACATGGGTACAATGTGTTAAGCTCATTTCTGGTGTCCCCACACTGTGATATTGCTGAAATATTGCTAAAAGCGACAAAAAATCATACTCACTCACTCTACATCTTCAGAAAATAATACTGGGTGTGAAACAATGTATAAAGAATAACCTACTTGCAATGAAAAATTATGGAGAATGTCTCCCTCCTGAATTATTGTTGAAAGTTCCCAGTCCTTGCACTGTTAATTCAGTTTGGACAAACAACCCGTAATTCCTCATTGCAAGTAGGTCATTCTCTAAATCTTTACTCGGAAACACAGTACAGTAAACTACGGTTATAACGAACTCAAAGGGACCTCTAATTTTAGTTTGTTATAACCGTAGTTCATTATAAGCATAAATACAGCATAACAACAGCAAATAGTCGGGACAAAAAAGTAAGTTCGTTATATCCATCAGTTCGTTATAAGCATGTTCATTACAAACATAGTTTACTGTACGTCCAAACTCTGGTTTACTGAAAGAAGTTACGTTATGTGTTGCCAACATAAGAATGAAAGTTGTGTACACATGACAGATTGCAAGGGATGCCTTATCTTCCTAATCAGACTCGCCCTGTATTTTCTACCAATCTTCTGATTGGATACTGAGGTATTGGATATACCTCATTAGTGCCCTACATCTCATTAGTGCCCTTCACATTGTGTTGGTGGTTCCATCTCCTGGCCATATCATACCAAGGATGTTACAAGATGGTACTTGTCACCATGCCTGGCGCTCAACATTAAGTTTATGGTTTCGACATGGTATCTTGGTGGGCTAGCATTACAAAGACTAATACAAGCAGCTACACACATGCATGTACATCGCTATATAGAAGTTGGAGTACTAAGTAAGGTTAAGATATATGGATGAACCACTTCTTTATTACAACTAGGAGCGACGTTTCGGTGTAGGTACTAACACCGTTATGATTGCTTGATAACAGTGTTGGAACCTTTGCCTGAAGGTCGCTCCTAATTGTAATATGTTCATCCACATATTTCATCCACCTATTTCATCATAACATAGCTGTATACAGTGAAATAATCATAGTGCAACATTAGACCCCATTTCTCCTCGCCCACCATTAACGCAAGCCTCTGGGTTTTATACTTTTATCAACTCTTGTTGATATGTGAGATCAAAGGAAACATGGGTGAGATTCTCTGTAGATTTCATGTTTCTGGATTAATTCAAACATGATTTTCTTTATTTCTGCTCCAAGCTTGGGGGCCTGGTGGTGTCTGGTTTGGATTCAAACTGAGGATTATGCCTGTATAAGTGTGTATCATTGCTTGTAAAAGAATCTAGCTATCTGATTAGCCATTGCCATCTTGTACAGTCCCATACAGCTGAGCTGGCCAGCATGTGCTGACATGACATCATCATGATGTCCCTTTCTTGTCACCCTGTTCACACTTCCAGTTCCATACTGTTTGTCTGATATGTTCCTTAAAAACAATCAATACACATGCAACAATATTATACAATTATGAACAAATATACACTTGACACATATACATTGATATTAAGGCATGACAGTGACCTATAATTGCTGTCTTTATATCCTTTGGAGCAAGAGGGGCGGTCGGGTACCCTGGTGGTTAAAGCGTTGGCTCGTTACGCCGAAGACCCGGGTTCGATTCCCGACATGGGTGCAATGTGTGAGGCCCATTTCTGGCGTCCCCTGCCATGATATTGCTGGAATATTGCTAAAAGCGGCGTAAAACCATACTCACTCACTCACTTTGGAGCAAGACAATGTGAACTGTTGAAGCAGCATACACATCCTTTCAGGGCACGACTGTGTGGCCTGCAGCTGTGGCCTATATATCCTTTAGGGCATGACTGTGGCCTATATATCCTTTGGGGCATGACTGTGTGATCTGCAGCTGTGGCCTATATATCCTTTAGGGCATGACTGTGGCCTATATATCCTTTAGGGCATGACTGTGTGATCTGCAGCTGTGGCCTATATATCCTTTAGGGCATGACTGTGGCCTATATATCCTTTAGGGCATGACTGTGGCCTATATATCCTTAAGGGCATGACTGTGTGACCTGCAGCTGTGGCCTATATATCCTTTAGGGCATGACTGTGTGACCTGAAGCTGTGGCTTATATATCCTTTAAGGCAT